TTAAAATAAATTTTAAATCGAATTATTAACGAATAAAAACGGAAAAAAAAGTTTCATTAAATAATGCAAAAATAAATGATAAAATATCATCATAATTTATATTATTATAATTAACTAAATAATTTAAAAACATTAATTAAAAATTTGTCCCTTTCTCCTTAATCACTCACTTTCATATGCTCTTTTCCTTATCATTGAATTACTTATTAGGAGATTATCTATTTACCATTCACAACACTTTATCATTTTTTATAATTTTACTATTGAATACATCAAATATTATTAAACAAAAAGACAAAAGTGGAAAACAAATGGATGAATACTGAAATTTGAAATGAAATTTTAATTGTAATTGAATTCTAAAATTTTCTACAGAATTTTTAATTAGTATTTTTTTTAAAAAAGGCGCAGAACAATTTTTGCCAATGAGCTATTTACCTATTCGTTTTCAATCATTCTTAAATTACCATTTTTTGTTTATAATCCTTACAGTTGTTTATTATTTTCCATATTGAAGGAGAGGGAGAGAGAAAGATCAGAGAATAGGGAGCGGAAAGAAGAGAGGAAATATGATATTTCAAATGAATTTACGAAGTTAGTGTAATTTTTTGAATATTAACGAATTGCAAACTTTCCCCCAATAAAAAGTCTTATTGCCACTTGATGAAAGCAATTTCAAATAAGGGAAAGACGGGGGTACGAGGAGGCGGTTGAAAGAGAAAGGAAAAGAGAAAAATCCTTCAACTAATTTGGCCAATTAATTTGATCATTTTAAATCAGAGAAGAATTGCCTGAAGAAAAGGTAAAATATTTCTTCACATGCACTTAATACTTTCATAAAGTAAATGGCAGAAATTTGTTGAAAATTCCATTTATGAGATCTAAGTGAAATTCTAAAATTAGTCGCTGGCAGCAAATATTAAGTTCGATTTATTCAAATAATTGAATAAATCCAAAAGGAAATTATTATTATATTTTATAAAATATCAAATGATACAGAATTAATTAAAGCATAAATAAAAGTTGAAAAATTATTATCGAACTTAAGCTTGAAAAAAAATGAAAAGCTTATCGATTTATATTGAATTTACTTAAATTTCATTTTAACTTTTACAATAGTTTTTAACATTTTGAACTTCATAGTTTTAGTTTCTAATCAAATAATTTATATATCACTGATTAGTTATCATAACTATTCATGCATTATTATCATGAAATTATGATTAGTTATCATAACTATTCATATATTATTATCATAAAATTATGATTAATTATCATAACTACTCATACATTATTATCACAAAATTATGATTAATTATCATAACTATTCATACATTAAATTATAAGAATTTTAAAAGAGTAGGAAAAAAGATTGAAAAATTTCAAATTCTTACATCTTTTCATTGTTTTTAATTAATAATTGTTTTGAACATTTTCTTTTCGTTTAAAATTTTATTCTTTCAGAAATTTTATACATTTTATGTGTGAAAGATCTTTCTTTATGTAAATTTTTTGAAAATAAAAAGAAAAAATTTTTCTTCAAATTTTTAAAAATAATTTTTAATTTTTATATTTGTTCTATGAAATGTCTGTCTATGTATTTCAGTTCATTGATAATAGAAATGTCTGTCTGTTTGTGTGTATTTCAGTTCAATGATAGTAAAAATGTCTGTCTGTGTGTGTGTATTTCAGTTCATTGATAACATTTGAACTGATAATATTTCAGTTCATTGATAATATTTGCTAAAAGAGAAGAAACTAATGAGAAATAAATATTGTCAGAAGAATTTTTCGTAAAAGCAAAACTTAAAAACTAATTGAAATTAAATATTAAAAAGTTTATTGCAAAAAATTTCAATGCAACGAATTTGAAAGCAAAGGTTAGAATGAATTTTTCAATGCATTAATATGTTTTGTTTGAAGTTTTATGAGTTTTATGAGAATGAAAATTTATATTTCTTTCTTATAGCAATAAAATTAGAATAAATGATAGCCAATGAAACTGTTTGAGAGATTTTCTTTTTCTCTTTTATTTTTCTATTAAACCTAAAATTAGGCCTCGCAAACAATAAAAGAGGAAAAGTACTTCCGATCAGAAGGCCTAAAATACCAAGAAAATGATATTAACTATCGATATGGAATGAGTTTTCTTTTTTTTTAAATTTCAAAAGAAATTAAGAAATCATTTGAAAATTTATTTATTGTTTTCAAATGAACAGAACTGGACGAAACTGACTATTCTGAAGAACTATGAAAGTCATATTGCTTCCGATTAGGCCAATTCAGATTGTTTTACAGTGAACAAACCAGTAATTGAAGGATAGTCTATTTTCTAATTCTAAAAATTTTCTTCTTTTAACAATCAAAATTTATTTCTGAAAAATATGAGTTTAGAAAATTTGAAATTAACGATCATCCATTCCTCCTCTCTAATGCATGAGAAGAATTTTTAGTATATAATAAAAATGTTTTTCCTCAGCAATTAAAGAATTTCGAGAAATTAGAATTTTATGAGAGCGATTGTCCTTCACTTCCTTTCCTCTCTTTCCTTTAATGTATGAAATTAAGGATCTATGAAATATAATAAAATTATTTTACTTCTAAATATCAATCAGAAAGATTTTGAGAAATTTGAAATTTTACAAAAAATTTTTTTTTGAATTTTTCCCTCGGAAAAGGATTTAATTTTTGGATGAGTAAATAATGTGAAAGTGAATTTTTCGTAGGAAGAAAGAGCAATTGATGTGACAAATGTATTTAGCACAGTTTGCTTTTAGCTCTATTTTATAAGGTGTGATAGTAAGGTGAAGAAATGAGGACGGATCGATCGATCCCATTCGATTAAAACGACCAATAAATCATTCACGAAAAAGCTACAAGGACGAAAAGAGGGAAGAAGAAGTAGCAATCGTATTTACAACAACGATCGATCGTTCAATTGATGGATATTATCTGTCATCTCCATATATATATATATTTTTAGTATTATTAAGTACATTGTCAAAATACTTCAATGTAGAAAGAAGGATTAATTATATTCAATAATAAGCAACCTAACATATTATTAATTATTAATTAGCTCCGATAATTATGGTATCGATGGAGAAGAAAGAGAGAGAGAGAGAGAGAAAAGTTATTTTATAGAAAAAGCATAAAAATAAAAAAACAGACGACATTCATTATAATTAATTAATTTATAAATAATTTGAAGATATAAACATTTATTTATTTGTTCTTTCCAAATTGAAAATTTTATTAAATGTAATTCATTCAAAATAAACCATTTAGTACGATAAATTTTGTTGAAAAATTATTAGGCTATTTTGGATTGTATAAATTTTAATCAGTAATTTCATTATATGTTATGATAATGTAATGATATGAATATATCAGTTGCAGAAGAATGTTGATGAATTATTTCCTTTCCACTCATACACATTGATTGTCCCTCAAATATAATGATAAGGTATAAAAACACAACGATTGAGAGAAGTGATTCTGAGAACAGATGGAATCATTTTGAAATAACATAGAATCATTCCGGAATAGGATAGAATTATCTTTTTTTTCTTCCTTTTCGATATCCGTAATAAGCCATCAATTTGGCAAATTGAAACCGAAAACATTTATTAAAAAAAATTTTGTGAATAATGAAATATATTGATCGTTCTTAAGATGAAAAATTCAGAATGAAAAAATTTGCTCGATTGTTTCAGGAAGTTGTATTAATCGAAGCTTAATTAATTAGCCATTAGCTTCGCTAAATTGATTTCATTCAATATAACTGTCAATGGAATTTTCACTTTTTCATTCGATTCCTTTTGAAATATCCTTTTTCTTTTTCTGTTAAATATTTCATTGATTGAAATTTTGATATTTCAACAAAAATATTCAAAAAAAGAAATTACTTCCTTTGTTGTTTACATTTATTGTAATTAATATTTGTCATCTTTTGTTTGTAATAATTAAGTTCTTATATTATAATCTGTCATAATTTATTGGTAGCAACAAATGATCGATCAGATGAAATCACATTGGTTGATATTTCAAAATGCAAACAGATGGGCCAAGTCAAAATTGACAGATTAGCTTTTGGCTATTAGAAAAGGTGCTTTTGAATTTATTTCAAAATTAAGGCAAAGATTACTAATATATAATACATATCCTTCTATTATATTAATTCAAGGATTAGTAATAAGTAATAATTATGAGCTAAGTGGATAATGCAGAATGTTAATAATACAGTGAGATGGTGGCAATTTCTGTAAATAAATAAAAGTGAACAAATTAATGTTTTTGTTTAATTAATTAGCCAAAAGATGAGAAAACAAAAAAATAAATGATCACAATTGTATTTTAAAGATAAAATGATATGTATTCAATTACCTCATAACCAATGATAGAGATAATATATTAGAATTTTATGGGAGTGAGATGATTTCGAACGAAAGCTAATGAATTCAAAGTTTGCATAATTTAAGTTTTGAATCAAAGAACAGAGACTATTGAAAGTAGGAAAGTTTAAAGAAGGAATTTGGAAATAAGCAAGAATTATTCAAAATAAAAGATATGAATTAAACATGAAGGAAATTTTAATAACATAATGAAATTGAAAAGAAATAATTATCTTCGCTTAATTGAGCTTAGCTTTTATGTATATTGAGAAGATAGATATTTCATGAGATTACAAATGAATCCCATCTGGTACTAACCATTTGTCAAATCAAGCCATTTCTCTTGTGGGAATTTTAATGGTCAGTCATGTGTACATTTCAAATAAATCTGTTTTAAAATTAGACCATTCATAGATTAGATTAGTAAACTGGTTCGTAGAAAATTTTAGACTTTCATGAATTTGTCAAAAAATGAATTGCATTATTAACGTTTCATTAATTTCAATACAAGGAAAGGGATAATACAATTGGTAATTTCCAATCAGTTTGGATTCACAAGTAATTTAATTACCATTCCACTCCATCTTTCCATTTCATTCAATTTTTCTATTTGATAATGTAATATTTCGATTTGATAATATGTAAGGAATTTTCGAAGGTTACGAAATATTTAATGTGAAAATGAAACGAAACCTTAAGAGAATCATGAAGCATTGCATCGTATACTGTCGCATCAAAAAGACAATTATCCAATGATCGCGCAGCAAAATTACTGGTATCAATGATGGCATGTTTCGGGATTGAACGAGCTACCCGAGGTTGTGCATCAGCTAATGTTTCTAATGCTTCCATGAGATATCCTGGATCTGATTGATTCATCGCACCAACCGAATAAGCTTTTTTTGATATCAATAATACCGGACTTTTTTTAAACATACTCCGACTTTCGCTTCGTGATCGAACATTCGATAAAGTATCTGATTGTGATGATGAAGAATTCTCAGGCTGATGCATACGGGAATTTTTAAAACATCGTTTATGATCCGTGAAATCGGTTTTTGGTAGTTTATACTGTTGTTGTTGCTGTTGAAATGATAATGGTTGTGATGGTTGAAATTCTTTGGCCCAACTTGTGCTTGCTGGTTCCAGTGGTACCATTAACATTTCCGAATTTTCCAAATTACTGTAACCATTGGTATGAGTGATATTTGTGTTACTATTAGTTTTCCCGTTTGTTAAAAATCGCATAGAAGAAGGAGAAGTGACCTTCTTGTTATCATCCGATGATTCCGTAACACTTCTATTTATTCGTTTCTTCCTCGAAAATAATGACAGAAATATGGAAGAACTTTTCGTAGAAGAAATATCATCAGGCAACATAACTTTTCTGAGAAAAGGTAATTTCAAGGTAATTTCAGAAAATATCAGATGTCAAACAGTGATACAATCCCGTATAACTGATATTATACGGTATCAAGTGAAAATTCAGAAATCTGAAACGGAAGCATGGAGTTTATTAAAAATAAAAAAATTTTTCATTCTAGTCATATATTGCTAATTTCACCATAACAGCTAACATTCTTTATAGAAATTTGCGGTATAACTGGAAATCAATTATTATTGACAGATCGATAATGGAGTAATCCGGAAAGTAATAAAATTTCATTATAACTGTTTATATGTTAAATTAGATATGATTTAATGAAATCGTAATGGGAATTGGAAGTAAATAAAAAATTCAATAAAACTTTTAATATGTAAAATTTTCAAAAAATTAAGCAAATGAACATTTTTGTCGGCTGGCACCAAAGAAAATTTTTCTTTCAAAGAATTCTCTAATATTTTTTAAATTCTTTTTAATTAAATAACGAATCTTTCTTCGTAAGATTTCTCTAAAAATGAATGTATTATTGTTTGAATTACTATTTACTAATGGTAAATAGAGAAATAGTAAAATTATTGAAATACGACTGATAGAGTAGTAGTAAAATTATTGAAATACGACTGACAGAGTAGTAGTAAAATTATTGAAGTATGACTGAAAACTGCACGGTCATATCCATTATATTGTCAACCTATAAAACGCAATAATCCAAACAATTTATTGAGACAGTCAATTATTATGTCCATTTAGCATTTCGAATTGAACAAAACATTGAATATCGTCGGGATTACTGAAATAACCGGGGCATTCAAAATGCAATAAGGCGAATTTAGGGATGGTTACTGTTGCAAGTATTCCGTTTAATTCATGAAATAAAGAAATTAGGAAGAAATGAAATTCTAACAAAAAATATTAGTTAGACTAATAACTCCTTAAAGAGAAAAGAAATCGAAATATACAATAAAATAGTATTTGAATAATTTAAAATTTGAAAATTAATTAGAACAAGTCAATATAGCCTAAATGAAAGCTATCGGCTAATTAATGAAAGTCAGGTGGTCCATCTGAATTGTGATAACACAGGACAAGGTGTTAATGATAATGAAAATAATATATTCAAAACAAAAAGAGCGAAAAAGAGAATTTGCATAAGGAATAAACGAGGAATGTAATTAATACCAGCTAATCGGATTAATTGAATATTCGCTAAACTGAAATTCCAGCAATATTTACATGTGTGTTCAATAATAATTAAAAAAATGCTAAATAACAAATTGAAATGTTCGTAAGAAATGGGAACGCAAAAGTTTAAAATCAAACTCAAATTATACTGAGAAAATACAAATTTATTTTACTATTAATTTATTTAAATGTTTACAATTGTATGTATCATCACAATGCTACCTATCTTAAACATCTCATTTGAAATTACATGCAATATTCCTCTCAGATTTAAGTATTGAATTCTTTCCAACTATTACATTTGAGAAGTAAAATGGTATCTGAGAATCCATGCTGGACAGATCTTATCGACAGATTCGATGAAGAGGACGAAGAGGAAGAGAAGGAAGTATTCACGACCTCCCTCAGCCATCATCACTATCACAACTACTGCCACCATCATCATCATCATCATCATCATCACTATTCTTATACCATCTTGTCATCATTATAATCACTCCCATTACAAACATTATATTATTATCACTGCTGTAATTATCATGTCTTTAATACGGCATTATCAACGTCAAATTAGCACTGCTGTCTGTCATCAATTTATCGCATTGAAATTGAGAAAAATGGGAAGTAGGGGAAAGAGGAGGTAACTGCCAAAAGCTAATTGCACCCTTGTCTCTCTATTCTGAAAATTTGAATTATATCTGTGCAGTGTACATGTATGTGTGCATGTATGTGTATGTATATATATATGTGTATGCATGTATGTGTATGTGTGTGCATGATAGGAAGTGTGAATGTATTTGGGTGTGAAATATAATAAATGATTGGTAAAGACAGGTAAAATAAAATGAATGAGCTTTCTCCAACAGATTATCTTTGTGGAAGCTTTCCTAAGTGACACCTTTCGTCCATTGTTTGTCATCCGTTTTGGTCATTTCTTCTCTTTTAACAAAATCAAAAAAAGCTTCAAAAATTTCACCATTTTTTATTAGAAATAATATTTTGTGGTATATAAATATGATTTTATATTTAAATATTTGAAAAATTATTTCAAAAATACAAATGAATACAATAAATATTTCATTTTTCTTTTTTGCTTAGATAATATTCTAATGATAGCAAGAAATGATTAAGTTTCGAGAGAAATACCGATAGCCGGGAAAGCGAGATTAATGAGGAGAGAAAAGGGTTTCGAGAGAAATAACCGATAGCCAGAAAAGCAAGATTAATGAGGAGAGAAAAGGGTTTCGAGGGAAATAACCGATACAAGGAAAATGATATTAATAGGAAGAGAAAAGGGTTTCGAGGGAAATAACCGATACAAGGAAAATGGTATTAATAGGGAGAGAAAAGGGTTTCGAGGGAAATAACCGATACTAGAAAAACGATATTAATAAGGCGAGGAAAAGATTTCGAGGGATAACCGATACCAGGAAAACGAGATTAATGAAGAGTAGAAAAGGGTTTCGAGGGAAATAACCGATAACCGGGAAAGCGAGATTAATGAGTAGAAAAGGGAAAAAATAGTAAACAGTAAAGAATAATAAATCATTTGGGATAGCTATTTCGTTTCGTAAGTTTTTGAAAGATTTGAGCTGCCAATTGGAACATATCACATTGTTGTAAAATTAGCTTTTTTTTTGATCCTTCTTTTACAATGAAATGAATAATGAATGTATGAATTTGTTGCTGATAAGCCTTATCGATAATTTTCACAAAAAATTAACTAAGGAAAAGAAAATGAGAGAAAGAAGAAATGAATGCTTTTTCTCTTTTTCTTCTTTTCTTCATCAAATTTTATCACAAATATCTGTTTGCTATCTATCACAAATGTAATTTATAATAATTATTGCAATTTTAAAACAATGGCTCCATTCATTCATTCATTCAATAGAATAATAAATAAAAACAAAAAGACAAATTACTCTAAAAAGCTGTAAATAATTATTTCAGTTATTATTATTTTAATTCGAATATCGTTTTTTTTTGTATTCTAATAAAAGAGAAAATCGAAAACAAAAGGAAATAGAAAATTTAAAAGAGTTTATTCAAATAAAGTAAGTGATGTTATGAGGTAACTTTCTCATTTCCTTTTTAATCATACCTTATTTACTGTCAACAATGAATCTGTCAATGATCACAACTTATCCTATTCTATCATATCAATTCTCAGTGATAATATTTAGTGATAATATTTACTAATGAATTAACAAATCGTACAATTTAGGATACCATTTAAAAATTGTCAGTAAATTAGGGAATTCACAAATGACAAAAACATTTGTCCTTTTCTCGTTCTCATCCCATTTAATTTAAATAATTATACTTTTACTATCTGTTCCATTATTATATCATCATTCTTTTTCTGTCTATCCAATTTTTCTCTAATAAAATATGTCAAATTTCATCTGTCATCTTTTTTTTCAAAATTATCAATGATTAGAAGTACCATCGATTTAAACGATGAATAATTGTTGTACGAATATAATTTGTTCGTTGAAATTCTACAAAATAATACGACGAAAAAGAATAGATAACAACAAAAATTATTTATTGGAATTCTTAAAAATTTTTATTCCATTTTTATTATAAATAAAATGAAAGAATTTTCTTTCTAAAATTTTGATAGTAAGAAAAGAAAAAATTTGTTATCGCAAATGAAATTAAATTTATTTTCACATTTCATTCGAATATTTATAGTAAATAAATCGATAATAAATCGAAATATATTTAATCAATCAATCAATCAATCAATCAATCGATCAGAAAATTATAATTTAAAATTATAAATAGTTTTTTAACAAAAAGAAAATAATATTTTAATAAATAGTAATAGTAAACTTTCATTTGGAATTTATAGAAAGAAAGAAAGAAATAAAGCAGCGAAGTAAGAAAATTTTACAAAAATTAACTATTACATATATTAAATATTTTTTATGCTAATTTTATGCATTAATTAACTATACGAATAAATAAATGAAAAGGGAAAATTTCAATAAGAAATAAATGAATGAGTTAATTTTGAAACTAAAATGAAATTTTAAAGGAGGAGAAAAGAAAACGAAAAAGATAAGAGATAAAAAAAGCTAATATTACAGCAAATATTTAAATACAAACTGGTCTTTCATAAGGGAAAGAAATTTAATGTTTCAAAAGGTAAGAAATCAGGTAGGAGGGGAAGGTTGAAAGAATTGAAAGGGATGCATTCATTCTTGTCATTAATATTTTCTTGACCCCAAAACAGGTGAGGAAGATTGTATTTCCTTAATTGCGTCATTATGTTTTTGGGCATAAAGGTATAGATGAAATATAAATATATGTGGTATATATGTATATAGTGAAATTACAGGTAGGCAATTAAATATTAATTTTCAATATCAATTATTATTATATAGTAATGGCAGAGTATATTTATGAAAGCAATCGTACTAACTATTTCTTAATTTATTAATTTCTTTTTTCTCTTTCTTGAAAAAGATTAATTTAAATATTTATTTCGTCGTATTGTTCGAAGATTTCTTATTAATTATTTAAATTTTACAATAAAATTCGTGTGAATTAGTGCAATGAAAAGTTAATCTTTTCATTAATTACATTGAAATAACATTTTAAAATTTAAAAATAAATTAAAATAAAAAGACTGTAAGATAAAGAGTGAAATTATCGAAGGAGGAAAAGAAAAGGTAGACGAGATGAAATTGAACTATGAAGTGGTCTAAACTGTAAAGGACAGAGCAATGAACACTTTCTCTCTCTCTTTCTTCTTTCTTTCTTTCTTTTTCTCTCCCTTTCTTTCTATCTCTTATAATATCACAAA